TTTCTAATTTATCATCTAAAGAAACTTTTCTATAAAACAAATCTCGCATATAACCTATAATACGATAAAGCGAATTATTTTTTAAAGAATCTTTTATAGTATACTTACTTGCATAAAGAGAAGATTTATAGTCATAGCACTGTAACCCTAACTTTTTATTATAATAACAACGACCATAGCGAAAAAGTAAATGATTATTTTGTACACGAACTTTATTATCCTTATCTATGTAAAAACCTTGCCAATAAAGCATAACTTCACGATACAATTCAGAAGAAGAAATAGTAATATCTTTAGTTACATCCAACGGAGTAACATAAAAAATAACATGATAGTGAGGGTTATTGTTATAACCTCGAGTACCTTTACCTTCTCCAAGTTCGGACGTAATAAAATAATCTAACTTAGCATTTGACTTATAACACAACTTACGCAAACGACCCGTTAACAGTTGCCTAATATGACGATAATCATGTACATTAAAACCAAAAAATTGAGGTACTGCGTGAGGTGCATAAGTAAGAGTAAAGAATATACAATAAGAACCAGCAGTCCTATATTTTTCAACTAACCTAAATTGGTAATAAGCACGTTGAGCATAAGAACGTTGTTTAGTTGCTTGATAACTAAATGATGAAGTAACAGGAACATTATTAAACAACCGACGAGTATTAACAGAAAATTCAGTTTTATTAATTACTTTCATTGCAACAATTTTTCTCTATTGTATCAAAATTGGGTTTAGCACCTTGTCCGGCATCATACCGGCACAATTGTAATATACAAGTCAAGAGTATGTTAGTTCGGGCGGCATTAAGCCGCCCTCACCAACATACTATTTACCGTTTCATACGCTGATTTCTACGCATACGTTGATTTTCTCTAAAGTCAAACTTTGAAGTACCTTTTTTAGTATAAGTACCTTGATAAGAAGTTGAACCACCTTTCAAGCCATGTTTATGACGCAAAAAGTCCTTATAGTCTTGTGTTTCTTTCATCTCATTAACACGAGTACGAACACGCTCCGTAACAATATTGTTAATTTCATCTTCGTTTAAACCTTGACCTTGCTGGTCTGCTGGAAGTGGTACACCGTCTTTTCCAACTTTACCTTTACCTTTAGGCCATATATTTCCAATCGCATTACCAACGGCATTAATAGTACCATTAACCATGCCCATAACACGCTGAGCGCCGCCATAAGTATCATCTAAATCCTTTAGAATATCTTCGTGTTCAGTTTCAACACCTAACTTTTTAGCAAGCGCACCTAATTGTTCGACCTGTGCTTGATAAACCTTTTTAAGTTTCTTGTTAACACTTATTTGACTGCTATTCATTAACTTATTTAACTGATATTGAGCAACAGCAACCGCAACACGTTGCTCTTCTTGTGTCAAATATCCAGAATCAATTTGTTTCTTAAAGTCAAACATCGCAGCTTGCAAACTCTTTTGAAATTCATTCATTTCCGAATTAGAAACATTTAACAATGCTTGTGTATTAGAAAGACTAATATCAGCAATAATTTTATCTGTATTTGCTTCTATTTCAGCAATTTGCGAAACTATACTTTCATTTTGTAAAGAAAGATTTTGGACCGACAAACCCGACAACGAAACACAATTACCAGCCGTAACCTCATTAACATAATTGTCAACCGTTCTACGTTGAGATTCTAAAGACTTATTAAGAGTATCAGCATTAAGATTTGCAATATTTGCAGAAGTCATTTGAGATTGATTGACCGCATCTAACAATTGCACTAACTCAGTAGTTTCATTAATACCACCATGTGCAGAAGCAGAAACCGAAGGAGAAGAAGGAGCAGAGGAAGAACCGCCAGCAGAAGGAGAAGAACCAGCCATAGCAGGATTAAAACCAGCCTCTTTTAAACGAGCAACCTGATTCAATGGAGTGTTATACTCATTAGCATAATCAAACATCTCTTTATTATACTGCTGTTCACGCTTTAAATAATCTAAGTTTTGCAAATAAGAAAAATAATCACTTTCCCAATCACCATAATTAGAACCAAAAGCATGATGCAAATCGTAGGCAGACATACCAGCACCTACATTATTGGAAAAATTATCCCAAGAAGAAACATTATTCGTAGCCATAATTAAAAAAGGGCGGAATTTCACCGCCCATAATAAAATAAAACAAAAAAGAATTACAACTGCTTGCCATTCTTACTGATTGACAAATCACCGCTTTCAAGTTCAGCGGCATCCGTCAACGTAGCAACTTGCCTATATGCAGAAACATCATTATTAGCAATTATATAGAAGTGGTCGTAATCATCTTCAAAATATTGAAAAATTCGGAGAGGGTCATTAGACACTTGTGTCATAAACGCATCTTGTGCATAAGCATGTGCCAAAGTAGGATAATCATAATCAGAACGGAAAAAACGTGCAATTGTCCACGCTCTATCTGACTTATTAAACACAAAATCACCCGTAATTACATCACGATTATATCTATACTGATTATAACGTTCAGTATATCCATAAACCGTATTATAATTATTTCCCCGAGCAAAAAGTTCAATCTGCGAAATACCATTACCGCTCAAATCATCAAACTCGGGCTGATAATAATCAAAAGGACGAACTTGAAGGAATGAACGGTTAATGCCGTCCGAATATTGAGGGCGATAAGTAATATAAGAAATAGTAATAATTACGCCATAATCTTTACTATCATAACTAAAACCGTGCGACTGCTTGCCAATAGCCTTACCAGCGTAACCGCCAAGCGCTTTAGGGTCATTCGGAACAGTGAAAGACGTATTATCCGAAGTACTTGTAACATCACCAACCGTAATCAACTGCGTATCACTATTAAGCAAAATAGAAGAATCAACACCAAAATTTGCACTCTTCAAACCAAACTTAGCGAGCAAACGATTAAGTGGGTTACTACCTACATAAGAATTTTTCCGATACCATTTAGTAAGCCTATCTAACTGCTTAAGTAACAATGAAGTAATTTCAGAACCTTGTGTTAAAGGTGTACCAGCCTCACCACCAGCGGCATTGCGAGAAATCAAAGGCTCATCACCTTCACCAAACACATCATTAGTTCCTTTTTGGAAAGTAACATTACGAGCAAAAGAAGTCAAAGAACTATTAACCGAAGGAATTGCAGAAAGTTCGGAACGCCAAGCATTAGTAAAATAATCGGAATCAAACGAAACACCTTGAACAATAGAATCCAACAAAGCCGCAAATAAACCAACACTCAAATATGTACCAGCAGGGAAAAGAGGACTTGACGATGAAACGGTTAAAGTAGATTTAAAGACATCAACTCCAAGCCTATAGTCTTGAACCTGACCAAACGGAGTTCGCTTAACTTGTTGCAAGAAAGATGACAACTGCGAATTATTGAAATAAACTTGGCGTTGATAATAATCTGCCCAAACACGAAGGTAAGCAAGAATACGCAACGAAGAAAGAGGGTAATTCCTATCATTCCAATCATTCAACTTATATGAACGATGAATCTGCAACCCTAAAGAATTTAAAAGCTTAATGAAACGTCTACCAACCGCAGTAAACTTATAATAAGACGGTTGAGAAGTACCTTCAAAAAAGTAAATATCATAATCGGATGATTCACCGCGAGATATAAGACAATACTCGGGTGCAGAAAATTCAGTAGAAGCAATAAACTCACCTATAGCAACACTAGGGAATAACCTACCATTAACTATAGAACCATGATAAAGACCATCACCAGAAACAAAACTGTCTAAATCATCACCAAGAACATGGTAAGGAACAAAAAACGAACTGCTTTTTAAAGCAAGTTTAGCATAAGTAGGGCGAACCAACGGAGCAGTACGAACAAAAGAAGTTTGAGAACCTTTAAAGGAATCTCCAGGTATAACATCAGTAATATAAGATACTAAAGGCTCACCGAAATTACAAGTATAAAGTGTATCGGAACTAAGGTCAAAACGGTTTTTCTTATTACCGCCTTTAATGGAAAAATTATCTAATGCCATTATTCAACATCAATTAAATTATCTTCAATATCAAGAATACGGTCGTTCATTTCCGAATTAGTAATCGGAGAAGTACGAACATTAAATTGAAGCGACGGGTCAGTAGTATCAACAAACTGAACATCATTCAACTCAACATCATCAATAGACTGCAAGACAGGCAAACCGTCTACACCTTCTACAAAATAAAGGGGATTCACACTCATTTTTTTCGATTTTTAAAAAAGGTTATTAAATCATATATAGCAATCAAGAGATTACCCAGCGCATCAAAAAAATTTTTAATCATATAGCAATAAAGTTTAGAATTTTAGGTATAAAATCGGCATCAGTACAATCCAGCAAACGAACGGCATCACGTTCCGAAATACGAGAAGTACGCAATAAAGAACCTTGTCGTTGAACTAAATAAACATCACAATCAAATTTATTGATTGAAGGACGATGAAGCAACGAGTAAACGCAATTATATTTTTTTGCGGTACGAAGTGTTTTATAATTATTCATTAATTAAAAAAATTAAATAATTTATATTCCGTTTACATCGCAAAAGAAATAAAAAAACCCAAACCCTACCCAAAAAAGAGGTTTTTTCCCATATATATTTTAACATAGATTAAGAAATTAAGATATAAGAAGAATATATTTATACAATAATTATAATTGTTAAACATTTTTTAGGATATTCCGCTAGTCGCTACACAAGCAAATAAAACGCGCCAAAGGCGCGAACCGTTCATGCAGTACAAAACCGTTCAATACCGTTCATGCAGTACAAAACCGTTCAATACCGTTCATGCAGTACAAAACCGCTCAAACCGTTCAAACCGTTCAAACCGTTCATTTTTTAAAAAAAATAGGGAAACAATACAAATAAATATAAACAAAAATAGAATAAATAATATAAAGAAATAATATGAAATAATAACTTAAAGGGAAAGTTTTCCCATTTCCTAAAAGGGACTTTTCCTTTATCAATAGTTCAATAGTGAACAACCGATAAACCAGCCAAACGCTGACGAGCTCGCTTTACATTTTCATATTTAACATATCGTTCCGAATCTCCAACAAACTGATAACGTTCAAGAACTGAATCCAGCATAGTAGCATAATATTCATGTTCAGTAAAAAACGAAGTAAAAGGAAGATAAACACCTTGCACAAATTGTTCCTTTTTATCCAGCATTAAGATAGAATCTAAATTAAACATTAAATCATCAGCCTGAGGCTCATAAGTCAATTTATTAAATTGCTCATAAGACAACAACCGAAAACGGTAAGTATAATTGTAATAAGCTATTTTACGCAAATCATCATCAGTTAAGCCAACTTCAGCGTTAAGAGTTGTAACAAACCAGTTTAAAGCCTTACGATAAGCCAAAACTATTTTATCAATATTCTTCTCATAATTATTATAACGTGCATTAATATAACGTTTCGTGTGAACGTAACAAACATTACCTTTACTATTACGAATAACCTCACCTTTTTTATTAAGGTGAGTATAACAAAACTTCCTATTAAGATAACCAAACAATGACTCCGACTGCATCAAACCAACCTTATTTGGCATTTTAATGGTAATATTATCATTATCAACAAAATCTAAAGCATAGGCTCCAAAGACATTAGAAGTTAACGTACGTGGCTTATAATATTTTGAATAATAACGCTTAACAAAAAAATCTACTAAAGCATTAACACGCGCATTTATATAAGCAAAGTCATAAGGCAAACCAGTATAATAGTTATCATTCAACAAATTATAACAACGTACCTTAATTTCTAATTTATCATCTAAAGAAACTTTTCTATAAAACAAATCTCGCATATAACCTATAATACGATAAAGCGAATTATTTTTTAAAGAATCTTTTATAGTATACTTACTTGCATAAAGAGAAGATTTATAGTCATAGCACTGTAACCCTAACTTTTTATTATAATAACAACGACCATAGCGAAAAAGTAAATGATTATTTTGTACACGAACTTTATTATCCTTATCTATGTAAAAACCTTGCCAATAAAGCATAACTTCACGATACAATTCAGAAGAAGAAATAGTAATATCTTTAGTTACATCCAACGGAGTAACATAAAAAATAACATGATAGTGAGGGTTATTGTTATAACCTCGAGTACCTTTACCTTCTCCAAGTTCGGACGTAATAAAATAATCTAACTTAGCATTTGACTTATAACACAACTTACGCAAACGACCCGTTAACAGTTGCCTAATATGACGATAATCATGTACATTAAAACCAAAAAATTGAGGTACTGCGTGAGGTGCATAAGTAAGAGTAAAGAATATACAATAAGAACCAGCAGTCCTATATTTTTCAACTAACCTAAATTGGTAATAAGCACGTTGAGCATAAGAACGTTGTTTAGTTGCTTGATAACTAAATGATGAAGTAACAGGAACATTATTAAACAACCGACGAGTATTAACAGAAAATTCAGTTTTATTAATTACTTTCATTGCAACAATTTTTCTCTATTGTATCAAAATTGGGTTTAGCACCTTGTCCGGCATCATACCGGCACAATTGTAATATACAAGTCAAGAGTATGTTAGTTCGGGCGGCATTAAGCCGCCCTCACCAACATACTATTTACCGTTTCATACGCTGATTTCTACGCATACGTTGATTTTCTCTAAAGTCAAACTTTGAAGTACCTTTTTTAGTATAAGTACCTTGATAAGAAGTTGAACCACCTTTCAAGCCATGTTTATGACGCAAAAAGTCCTTATAGTCTTGTGTTTCTTTCATCTCATTAACACGAGTACGAACACGCTCCGTAACAATATTGTTAATTTCATCTTCGTTTAAACCTTGACCTTGCTGGTCTGCTGGAAGTGGTACACCGTCTTTTCCAACT